GTAAAAACCTCACTTCTTCGGATGCATCCGAAAAAAAGTGAGGTTTTTACCCACGAAAGCTTATGCCCAAATAAATCTGTTAGTCTTTAAGGTGCCACCAGACTCCTTGTTGTTTTTGTGTATAGTTAGTTTCACTTTTTGCCCATATAGTCAATCCGATTGCCCTGTTGTTCGGGTGGGTCTTCCGCAAGGCAGCAGAGAAGACAGGAACAATTTTAAAAGCAGGTCAGTGCAGACCCCTCTTGCAGTTACCCCCATATGGACAGCTCCCTGCACCCGCGGGAAAATCCATCAAAGACAGTGAGGCTGTGCACAGGTGCAGGGGTTTGTCCACACACATGCAGATACCAGGCTTGGGCCTGTGATCGCAAAACTATCAAAACAGATGGGGGATTCAGGCAGGGGTATCTGCTGAAACCACTTTTACACCCCCTTCCCTTTTTTTCTTTTTTTTTAATTGGCTAGATCTCAAGCCGATGGTAGCCTTTCACCTCAGAAAACCATTTCTTGGTTTCCTTTTCTTCACATAATTATGTCCACTATCCGTCATGTACAAATCCTCCCCTCAGAGTCCCCCAATGGTGCTCAAAGCTGGCAGTTAGAGAACTAAGTGTTTCAATGCTGGGCTTTAAAAGGTCTCCTGGGAGAAGGCAGACTGGTATTTGGTGTAAAGGTCGCAGACTTCTGCTGGGTCCTGGGAAGCCTGGTGGCTAATGCAGCCATCTTGCTCAAAGGACCAGTTCACATTCTCAGTGGGCCGTGAGGGCCCTGACTACTTGTCTGAAGGTCACCGTTTGCTCTGAATGGGATCTGGCTGGGCAGGTGAAGGGAGGGGAGCGCCCCTGCTGGGAAGCGAGGGAAATTGCGCCTGAAAGGCTTTCAGGAGAGCAGAATAAATAACGACAAGTGGCACTGGTTGAAAGGAACAGACTGGAAGGTGCCTGGTTGCCATGGCGATGGTGCCGCGCTTTCTGAACAGCGGGCTTTTCTTTCTCTTTTCACCTGCCAATCTTTCCCCCACTGTAACTCTCTGCCTCTGCAGGAGACAAGCGGTGACATTTACACTCCCACTAACAAGCTGGCTGCATGATGGGCAGACTCCTTGGGAGAGCATCTGCTCTGGAGCGGTGTCACAAAGCCCAAATGGCGAGGACTGGGGGTTCAGCGAGGGGGCTGGGTTCTCGCTGGCAGTTAGTGTCGGTTGGGTATATTTCTTTTTATTATTAGTCGTGTTATTAAGGGAGGATCCTGCTTTGAAACAGCAGATAAAGCCATGGCAAGGCAGGCATTGTTTCCTAGCCCTCTCAGCCCCTCCATGAGCCGGGTACTTCTTATCCACTGGGAAGGAATTGCAGCTGTGAGACAATGCTCACATGCTAGAGAACGGCTTTCTGATTAGAAACTCAATCCTTCCTGCGGAGGAAAGAAAGGGAGTAAAAGAAAAGAAGCTGACAGCCACCATTGGAGCAATTTCATTTCTAACCCGGGATCCGACAACAGACTTTGAGATAAGCTCATGCCGTTCATCACAGCTCCGCTGCAGCCAGGCTTGTCCCTTGGATTCTTAGTGCTGTTGTTTTGGGATTCTGTTACTAAGATGGCAGTAGTGAAATTTAGGCAGATACCCCTGGGCTTTGCAGCTGCTCTCCCCAGCTGAAGGGGTGCAGTCACCGGACTTCTCCAGCTGTCAGGGACGAGGACGGAGTGACGACTTTCAGTTCATTCCATTTTCAGGGGTAAAATGACGCAGGAGAAAAAAACAGCAGCTGGAATAGTAACACATTGTGAGAATATCAGAGGGGTCGCTGTGTTAGTCTGAATCTGTAAAAAGCAACAGAGGGTCCTGTGGCACCTTTAAGACTAACAGAAGTGTTGGAGCATAAGCTTTTGTGGGTGAATGGCCACTTCACAGACGCAAGTCTGATGAAGTGGGCATTCACCCACGAAAGCTTATGCTCCAACACTTCTGTTAGTCTTAAAGGTGCCACAGGA